GAGGAAATAATACAGAAGTATGAGAGTGGTGTGAGACTTGTTGAGCTTGCCAGGATGTATGGGAAAAACAAGTCGACCATCGGTTCTATCCTGGCAAAGAAAGAACAAATCAAGGAAGCTGATGTTGCGAAAGGTGTTAATATAGGGAGTGGATGAGGTGCCTTCTTCAAAGATTAAGGAGATTTGTGCCAAATGGAATACTGTCCAAATGTTTGTGTAGAAGTACCACCCTGAGCAAGCTGAAACAAGCCATCTTTGCAACAAGTTCAGTGACAGAACCATGCCCCATTTTAGGGAAATGTTAAAGAGGCACCAGAAACAGAGGACTGTGGACAGTTATTTTGTGAGACAGGGGTCCTATTGGCATTAAAAGACAGAGAAGGGAAGTAACCCCAGAGAGAGCTTTACCTGAAGTCCTCATGGAGGGGGATTCTCCTTCCAAACACTAACCCCAACTCCCTCTCTCCTCCTCCCTATCTTCCAGATGCCATCACCAATCTTCAATAAAGGTAAGTAAAAATGTTATTTTATATGTATTACTATACATAATTAAAAACTATAGTATTTGTTGTATGTAAAACTGTAATTAATCTCTATAAAATGCGTTTTTTGTGTGAATATTTTTGGGTTTCTGGAACGGATTAATTGTATTTCCATTATTTCTTATGGGAAATATTGCTTCGAATTTCAGACTTTTCGAATTTAGAGCTAGCTCCTGGAACGTATTAAGTTCGATTTTTGAGGTTCCACTGTACATGAATTCTTGGAGCAATAAATAAGCATGAGCCTGCACTTGATGCATTAGTGCATAGAGGCATGCTGAAACGATCCTTCAATGCCTTGAATCCAGATGCCCATTTCTCTTGCTTGTTGATGGAAGCTCTAAAAGGCACTTTCTTCTAAAGCAATCCTGTCTTATTAGCAAATGCATACCCACACAAAGGAAAATTCCCCGCATTTGAGTGGTCAGCAGAGAGACACAGACTAATAAGCTTTATATTATGCATCAGTGTGTATTCTACAACAATTAAACCTTCCATGACTGAAGATACACTGGTTTCCTCCCCCCACCACTGTTTGATAATAGGTGAGCAAGACATACAATGAACAGTTGGGTATCTACTGTTGAAATGTTTCACCTATGTGGTAGGCTTCATCAGTCAAATACAGAGAATGTATTGTATGCATTAGGAGTAATGGTGAAGTAGTGATGTAATGTCCATCAACCTGGGAGAAAACAGTTTGAGATGGTCAGTCCCTCAACCTGACGCCTACATTCTCCTCTCTGACTGACTGATGAAGCCTACCATGTAGGGGAAACATTTCAATAATAAAGATACCCAACTGTTGCACATGTGTCTTACTCATCAACTTGTCAGTATTTTATACCACCTTCAACATATATGTTTGATAGTAACTTAGGGTTTATTCACAGATCGTATTGCAATTCAGCGAGGCACTTTTTCCTTATTTTCTACTGAAAACACCCATTCAGCATTTTTTAGGTCTTATTTAGCTATGCTAACCACATTCCCACTTATTCAACAGTGTCAGTCAGGGTTATTCATCACACAAACTCTAACCTTCTCATTGCCTCAAACTGAATGAATTATTGATTCTCTTTCACCAAAGGCATGGGCTCCCTCCATTACATATACATCACCTTTGAGAATGTCAATCACTTTTGTTTTCTTCTCTAGAGGCAAAGTTTAAAATTTAAACTTCTGCTTAGTACTTTCCCCAACACCAAATTTCCTTTCTGATGCCATGAATAGAATGCAGACACAAGAAAGGGTGATAAAAAGATCAGAAACAGAATGATAAAGCAGGAGAGAATAATAGTGTGGTACGAAAGCAATGGCATGGTGATAGTGACAAGGTGTGTAAAAAAACAAACTTAAGTACAGTTCATCACATTTATTAAAAGAAATGTTTCACAAGTGCTAATACAGAGAAAACTAATATGGGAGTATATAGGTGGGAGCAAGGTGAGAGGGAGGTACAGTGGTGGACCTACATTTCTGGGGCCCTGAAGCAACCCCTTCTCATACAGTAGACCCAATTTTAAGCAATGTGGACTAAGGATGCTTTTGGGGCCCCTCCGAGATTAGTTTCATGGCAGATCTTCTGCTGAGGTAGTAGTGACTGTGGCTCATATGTCAGCTTGCATGTGGCCAGCAGTAACAGCCTGGCTGATCAGACCCTGATCCACCATGAGGCCTGGTCTAAGACTGGGCCGCAGGGGCGTTGACCCCCGAAACCCACTCCAGGTAAACTAGTAGTTATAATAGTAGCAACAGTAGAGATAGTAGTAGGAGGGATAGGAGAATTAGAGGTAGTAGTAGTATTAGAGGTAGTAGTAGTAGTAGTAGTACAGTGGACCCCCAGTTAACGATATTTTTTCACTCCAGAAGTATGTTCAGGTGCCAGTACTGACCGAATTTGTTCCCATAAGGAATATTGTGAAGTAGATTAGTCCATTTCAGACCCCCAAACATACACGTACAAACGCACTTACATAAATACACTTACATAATTGGTCGCATTCGGAGGTGATCGTAATGCGGGGGTCCACTGTATTAGAGGTAGTAGTAGTATTAGAGGTAGTAGCAGTAGTATTAGAGGTAACAGTAGTAGTATTAGTGGTCGTAGTAACAGTATTAACCCTTTCAGGGTTGAGAGGCCCTCTCCTAAACTTGTTCTCAAGGTCGAAAATTTTTCGGAAAAAAAAAAAAATTCTTATGATATGATAGAGAAAGTTTTCCCAATCATAATGACACCAAAAGTATGAAATTTGATGGAAAACGTACGGAATTATGCTCATGTAAAGTTAGCAGTCTCAACAATGTTTACGCATCGGCAATTTCACCTACTTTGAGCCCTATTTCGCCCAATTCCAGTGCACTAGTCGACAAAAATCATAACTATTTTGCTAGAACTTCATTTTTTTCTATCGAATGAGTACAAGAAACTACCCATTTACTGATTTCAACTATCCAAAAAAGTGGTCAGAAATTGGCAATTTTGCCTATTTCACACAAATGTCAAAAGATGCCAATTTCCAAATAGGGTCCAGAATAAACAAGACAGACATTCCTTGTACTATAATAACATTTTCTCTGTTCATTAGTCACTTCCCCAGGCCCCTCTTACATTTCTTTTTGTTTTCCACTTGGAATTTTTATTCTCACAAAAAATAGAAGATTTACTGTTATGCAGACTACTACATTAGTGTAGAAATGGTATAAACAATATTGGCGCACTTGTGAAAGAATATTAGACTCACCAGTTGACGTGTATTGGACGCGTGGCATGATTTATTTGCTTTTGAACTTTGGCAAAAAATGAACATTTCTGCTACTTTGAGCTCAATTTCAAGGTACTTTTCATTGTGAAACCAATCAAAATCATCTCAATTTCTGTAATATGTCTTCCATTCTATAAAATGAAACCAGGAAAACTAGAATACAACCATAAATACCATACGAAAATACACTGAAAAGTCACTGTTTTAAACCAAAAACGATCAAAGTTTTTTTTCTCATTATGCACTGTGTGCTGCAGGATTTGTTTTAAACTGTGCACACTGACCACATAGACCCATTCTTTCATATGTAGGCCTACCAGCTTTCTCTCGCTAGATCTGAAGGCGCTAGAATTTACGCATACTAGTACGTCAATAACCTGGAGTGTAAGACGTACTAGTATGTCGGAAACCCTGAAAGGGTTAATGGTAGTAGTAGCAGTATTAGTGGGAGTAGTAGTATTACTGATGGAAGTAGTAGTATCAGTGGTGGTGGTAGTAGTAGTATCAGTGGAAATCGTAGTATTATTGGTGGTAGTAGTAGTATCAGTGGTAGTAATAGTAGTATTATTGGTGGTAGTAGTAGTACAGTGGTAGTAGTATTAGTGGTGACAGTAGTGGCATTAGCGGGGGTAGTAGTAGTAGTGGTGGCAGTAGTAACAGTATTAGTTTGGGAGTAGTAGTAGTAGTATTAGTGGTAGTAGTAGTAGTAGTATTAGTGGTGGTAGTAGTAGTATCAGTGGTGGTGGTGGTGGTAGTATCAGTGGTGGTAGTAGTATTATTGGTGGTAGTAGTAGTATTATTGGTGGTGGTAGTATTATTGGTGGTAGTATTATTATTATTGGTGGTGGCAGTAATAGTAGTAGTAGTAGTATCAGTGGTAATAGTAGTTGTATCAGTGGCGGTAGTAGTAGTATCAGTGTTAGTAGTTGTATTAGTGGTGATGGTAGTAGTAGTATTAGTGGTGGTAGCTGTATTAGTGGTGGTAGTAGTAGTATAAGTGGTGGTAGTAGTAGTAGCAGTGGTGGTAGTAGTATCAGTGATGGCAGTAGTAGTATCAATGGTGGTAGTATTCGTGGTGGTAGTAGTGGCACTGGTGGTGGTAATCAGTGGTAGTAGTAGTATTAGTGGTGGCAGTAGTAGTAATAGTATGTGTGGTGGTAGCAACAGTATAAGTGGTGGTAGTAGTAACAGTATTAGTGGTGGCAGTAGTAACAGTATTAGTGGTGGTAGTAGTAACAGTATTAATGGTGGTAGTAGTAACAGTATTAGTGGTGGTAGTAGTAACAGTATTAATGGTGGTAGTATACAGTATTAGTGGTGGTAGTAGTAACAGTATTTGTGGGGTAGTAGTAAAGTATTAGTGGTGGTAGTAGTAAAGTATTAGGGTGGTAAATAGAAAGTATTAGTGGTGGTAGTAGTAAGTATTAGGGGGTTTGTATTTAAAGTATTAAAGTGTGGTAGAGTAGAAATTTGTATTTGATGGTGGTAGTAGTAGTATGTATTAAAGGGTGTAAATTGTATATTAAAAAGGGGGTAGTAGTAGTATTAAAGGTGGTAGTAGTAGATTAAAGGGTGTAGTAGTAGTATTAAAGGTGGTAGTAGTAGTATTAAAAGTGGTAGTAGTAGTATTAAAGGTGGTAGTAGTAGTATTAAAGGTGGTAGTAGTAGTATTAAAAGGGGGTAGTAAGTAGTATTAAAAGTGGAAATAGTAGTATTAAAGGTGGTAGTAGTAGTATTAAAGGTGGTAGTAGTAGTATTAAAGGTGGTAGTAGTAGTATTAAAGGTGGTAGTAGTAGTATTAAAAGTGGAAGTAGTAGTATTAAAGGTGGTAGTAGTAGTATTAAAGGTGGTAGTAGTAGTATTAAAGGTGGTAGTAGTAGTATTAAAGGTGGTAGTAGTAGTATTAAAGGTGGTAGTAGTAGTATTAAAGGTGGTAGTAGTAGTATTAAAGGTGGTAGTAGTAGTATTAAAGGTGGTAGTAGTAGTATTAAAGGTGGTAGTAGTAGTAGTATTAAAGGTGGTAGTAGTAGTAGTATTAAAGGTGGTAGTAGTAGTATTAAAAGTGGTAGTAGTAGTATTAAAGGTGGTAGTAGTAGTATTAAAGGTGGTAGTAGTAGTATTAAAGGTGGTAGTAGTAGTGGTATTAAAGGTGGTAGTAGTAGTATTAAAGGTGGTAGTAGTAGTATTAAAGGTGGTAGTAGTAGTATTAGAGATGGTAGAAGTAGCAATAGTATGGGAGTGGTGGGACGGGAAGTACTTGAGAAAAGTTGTCAGGCTGGGCCAGTAGGTCTCCTGCATTGTTCTGCTACATAAAGCACTGATGTAGGTATCATGTTACACTAAACTCCAGAATTGGAGGCAGCTGTAATGGAACTATAATAGGCTCCTTTTTAAGAGCTTAGCAGGATTTCCAACCCACAGTTCCTTCAGAATGAGTACACATGCATCACACATTTATTCATCTCGCTACATTTCCATCTACACTTCATGCATGATTGCAGGAAACATGCAACATGCATTCTCATTACGGGTAACACTCATCCAGTTACATTGTTTTTGTACTTAAAATGTGTTAAAATAGACATCAAGTCTTCTGCTACCATTAAAAACCTGATGCAATAACACAAAACTGACTACCACAAACACAAGAGTATACATAGTACCATGTAGGGGTGGAACACAATGTAGGGAAAACTACTAGATCCCTGGAGATTAGGATCCATGAGCACTAGAATGCCTGCAACTAAGAGGAAACTATAAATGCAACAGAGACAATTTTAAATACCTAGTGAAGTTCAATGAAGCAAGGATAGTCATCCAGGAGGAAGATACACGAAGACAAATGCATATAAAGACTGCTGTAACTGCTGCCAGTAATACAATCCAACAGAAGCCCTGCAGTTACACCATATCCAAACTGTTGATCAACAGAATATTGCCCATTTTGGAGACTGTTGTTAACATGATACTTAGACAAATATTTTGTACAGAGAAGTACATAAGCAGGACTACTGGCCCAGGTTGACAGGCCCATCTTAAGTCCTAACCATCTCACCACTGCTGTGCTACTACTACTACCACCCTCTCACAAATTGGCACCTGACTCCCAACTATATTTACTCTCAGTCATCTCTCTCTATTAGGACTGATGAAGTCACTCACAGCACAACATTTCCTTTAATACCTGCTCTGAGTGGTACATAAGTATCTTCTTTACACAACAGCAGGTTATGTATCCACGATGGAGTGAGGGTGGTGTTAGTTACTTCACCACGGAGTAATGCTAGGTCTACCATAAAACAAAGGACTTCAAAGGTGCATGGGAGGAGAAATATCTCAGTTGCGCTGGTGCTAAAGCAAGACATTTATGGCAGACAATGGTATTAAGCACAAAATATGAATCAGGAAGTTATAGAAATGCAGTAGCTAGATGAATGAGAGGAAATGGCTTACTGTATGTAATATCACTTAACACTAATAAACTGCCACTACATGGGACAACTTATCTATATGTCTGACTACTTTGAAAATTTAAACCAAACTGATTTGTACCATTTCTGCTGCCTTCAGTATCCCATTCATGCTGATGGTGCAAATACATGATACATACAATGTGCAACAAAACATAAAAACTACATAATTAAGTTTATCAACATAGTATGTGCTGATGAGATTAAGACACATGTGCAACATCTGGGTATCTTTATTGTAGACATTTCGCCATCCAGTGGCTTTATCAATACAAATTCTAGGACATAACTTGAAGACAGTAGAACTATGTACAGAAGATGAGGTAATCAGTCCCTCAACCTAGGAGTAGGTGCGAAGAGCACCATAGTCGTGGAGATTCTGAAGCAGAAGAAAGGATCCTGGCGCTTATATAGTAACGTCAGGTGTAGCAGACGAGGGCATATTCACTGGTAGGCGGGATTCCCCAGTGGAAGTAGGTCTTTCCCAAAGAGATGGGTTAGTTGTAGTAGTAGTTGTCGTAGTCGTGAAGGTTATGTACATGTCCTCAGAATTAAGATTCCATGATGTTGCAGTGTCTGACAAGTTGTGTACGAATGGTATATAATTCTGAGGACATGTACATAACCTTCACGACTACGACAACTACTACTACAACTAACCCATCTCTTTGGGAAGGACCTACTTCCACTGGGAAATCCCACCTACCAGTGAATATGCCCTCGTCTGCTACACCTGACGTTACTATATAAGCGCCAGGATCCTTTCTTCTGCTTCAGAATCTCCACGACTATGGTGCTCTTCGCACCTACTCCTAGGTTGAGGGACTGATTACCGCATCTTCTGTACATAGTTCTACTGTCTTCAAGTTATGTCCTAGAATTTGTATTGATAAAGCCACTGGATGGCGAAACGTCTACAATAAAGATACCCAGATGTTGCACATGTGTCTTAATCTCATCATCTTGTCGGTATTATATACCATTCGTACACAACTTGTCAGACACTGCAACATCATGGAATCTTAATTCTGAGGACATGTACATAACCTTCACGACTACGACAACTACTACTACAACTAACCCATCTCTTTGGGAAGGACCTACTTCCACTGGGGAATCCCACCTACCAGTGAATATGCCCTCGTCTGCTACACCTGACGTTACTATATAAGCGCCAGGATCCTTTCTTCTGCTTCAGAATCTCCACGACTATGGTGCTCTTCGCACCTACTCCTAGGTTGAGGGACTGATTACCTCATCTTCTGTACATAGTTCTACTGTCTTCAAGTTATGTCCTAGAATTTGTATTGATAAAGCCACTGGATGGCGAAACGTCTACAATAAAGATACCCAGATGTTGCACATGTGTCTTAATCTCATCATCTTGTCGGTATTATATACCATTCGTACACATAGTATGTGCTACTGAATGTAGAAAAACAACTTATGGTATAAAAACTGTCCCTGAATTGAAAAAATATTACCCACATCTTACATCATTTATGTTATAAAATATGAATATTAAGTATACATGGGTAGTGCCAGTAGGAGTGCTAAGTTAGACATTTCACTCCAGCCACTACATGAAAAATCACTAAACTTCTCAGGGCTCTCACACTCTCTCAAGAGTAAAATAAAATACTAATTAGAAATGGAAAATCTTGAGACAAAACTTAATGCATCATACACTGTCCAGAAGAGACAGATGAAAAAAAAGATGCCTAATAACAAATCTTCCAAATCTCAAAAATTTCTGACATAATCCTAACCCAATTATCTTGGGGAAAGACAATGATAGAACGCCCATGTATTCTGCCTAAGACCCAGGCTCAAATTAAAAAAAAAAAACTATTAAGCTTAAATTTTATATCCTATTGAGACAGTTTGGAAAAGGGTAATCCCACAGTTATTAAAAGCCACTGACACTATCCCACTCCACAAAGTGCAAACAACTACTGACCAATGACACCAATGTCCCACATCGAAGCCTTTGAAAGATTTTTAAGAAGGAAAACTGTTAAACGTATGGAATCACAACAACTGCATAACCCAGGGCAGCATGGATTTAGAGGAGGTCACTCCTGGCTCTCACAATTACTGGACCATCATGATATGCCCTGGAGGCACTAGAAGACAAACAAAAAGCAAATGCAGTATACACAGGCCCTGCAAAACCTGTCATGGGTGATTATGGTATAATAATAGCACATAAAATGTGTGCAAAAAGAATAACTGTTAAAGCAGAATGATGAATTTTAAATTTTCTATCAAATGAGATGTAGAAAGAAACAGTCAATAAAGTACGAAAAGCTCTGTTCCTCAAGGCAATACTTGCTCCAATTCACCTTTCTCATTCTCATATCTGATATTGACAGAGACGTAAGTCATAGCACTGACTCATCATTGTAGACTATATTAAAATTTATAAATCAGTGAGAGCCACTGAAGACACACACAGTCTTCAAGCTGGCATCAAGCAGGTCTTCCAGTGGGCCACAGAAAACAATATGATGTTCAAAGATGATCAATTTCGGTTGCTCTGCTACAAAAGAAACTGAAGAATTAATAACTGGAATGGAGTATAAAACAGATTCAAACCAGGGATGTGAGGACCTTACAAGCAATAATGTCAAAGATTGAACATTAAAGGATCACAGCAGTTTTTATTACAAATGCAAGGAAACTGATAGGCTGAATAGCTAGAACCTTCAAAACAAAGAGATGTTAAGCCAATCATGATTCTCTAAGTCATTTGTGTCCTCCAGATGAGAATACTGCTGCACACTAACAGTGCTTTTTTAAGGTAGGCAAAATTGCAGACCTGGGAATGAACAGAGAACAGTTACCGTCTGTAAAAATTATCAAGCATCTAAATTACTAGAAATGCCTTTAGTCCATTTATATGTACTCTCTGGAACAAAGTTAAGAAAGACACATCATGATTTACACATGGAAAATTCTGGAGGGATTGGTCCCAAATCTGCACACTAAATTATTTCCTACAAATAAAAGAAGTTTGGCAGATGGTTAAAATACCTCCAAATTAAAAGCAGGGGTGCAATCAGTACACTGAGAGATAAGCGTAACAAGACCAAGACTTGTCAACACCTACAATTTGTATACAAGGGAAATTACCAACACACCCCTAGCTGTCTTCAAGAGGGACTTGGATAAGTTCCTTAAGCTAGTTCCTGATCAGTCGGGCTGTTGTGCCTATGTAGCACTAGCACCAACATTCTAGTCAATCAAGCCATCCACTAGGTGACCTGGTCTGGGACTAGTCAGAAAGGAAAAATGATCCCTGGAATTGCCATGAGGTTAGCAACTGGATGAACTCTCTCATGGCATGAAAAGTCTAAGCAACATGGCAGACTGTCCACAATGATGTATTCAGCTAGTTTTGGCATAAATGGAATTTATTCAAATTATGGAAATAAGATTTCTTCTCACCTTTATGCACTATACCAGAATGTCAAACATATTGAATGGTTTGTTGCTCTTATGACCTGTCAAATGTCTTACTTGGTATGTTTATGCTCACGTATGAGCCCTCATACCCTACTAGAATTTACTCAAGTCTTCTACACCTACTAGTATGGCTTTTCTATTGCATGAACTCTCACACAGTAAACAAGTCCAGATTTTCGTAAACTGCTTTAGATATTATGAACTTTATACAAAAATAACCCGCACATAAAAGAGAGAAGCTTACGACGACGTTTCGGTCCGACTTGGACCATTTACAAAGTCACACTGTATATGGTCCAAGTCGGACTGAAACGTTGTCGTAAGCTTCTCTCTTTTATGTGCGGGTTATTTGTGTATCGTTCCAGTCACAGTATTGTGCCCTTTTTTTTTTTTTTTGTTAATTATGAACTTTAAATGGTTTCTTTTTTATGAGCCATTAAATGCTTTACCAGATGTGATTTCTGTGAAAACATTTTCACACATTTTGAACACTGATAGGGTTTCTCACCTGTATGAACTCTCATGTGCCTCACTAAATCAGACTTACGTGTAAAATCTTTAAAACATTCAAAACAATGATGGGGTTTCTCTCCAGTATGGATTCTCATGTGTGTTACAAGGGAAACTTTTTGTGAAAACAATTTTAGACATTGCAAACATTGATAATTTTTCTCTTGTGTATGAGTTTTCATGTGTGTAGTTAGGTTAGTTTTTCCTGAAAATTCTTTTTCACACACTGGACAATGATATGGTTTTTCCCCTGTGTGAATTCTAGTATGTATAATTAGATCAGACTTTCTTGAAAAGGCTTTTGGACACACTGAACATTTGTGTGGTTTTTCACCTGTATGAATTCTTAAATGACTAAGTAAGTTTGATTTTTCTGAACACACTTTTAGACACACTACACATATGTATGGCTTCTCACCCGTATGAACCTTTGTATGCCTTTCTAACTTATATTTTGTTGTAAAGTTTTTGAAACAAACTGAACACTGGTGTATCTTCTCTTTTTTATGATTCTTCAGATGCATTACAAGAGAAGACTCTTTTTCAAAGTCTTTCAGACATTCCGGACAGTGATGTAGTTTCTCTTCTGTGTTATTTTCCATGTCTGTATGATTTTCCATGTTAATTAAACACACGATGAACACTGTTGTGGCTGCTCTTCTAATATAAGAACTTTCATATGAATTATTAATGATGATTGTTTAATCTCAAAACTCCAATACTCCCACTTTTACCTCACTCACATGTGCTACCAATATAGAGTACATTTATAATTAAGAACAAAGAATAACAGTAAGTCTTTTGTTTTCCTTATGAACTCCTTTTGTCTAACATTAAGATTTTTAGTTCAAGTCTGAGGAAACAGTTATTATTATTTTTATATTTAAAGTTTATTATCTGCTCTCAATGATCACTTTAATAAATTTCAAATAAAGTAGAGTCATTAGCTGGTTACCTTCCTTTAGTATAGAACTTGGATGTACTTGCCTGTCACTTGGTGAGGATGAGTATACTTGTCATGTGGTGCAGGAGGTACTAGCATGTCCTGTGGTGGGGAGGTACTAGTATGTCATGTGGGGAGGTACTTGCATGTCATATGGTGGGAGAGGTACTAGCATGTCATATGGTGTGAGAGGTACTAGCATGTCATATGGTGGGTAGGTACTAGCATGTCATTTGGTAGGGAGGTGCTAGCATGTCATGTGGTAGGGAGGTACTTATCTGTAAAGTAGTGCAGATATATGCACATGTCATGGGGTGAGGTGGCACTCTCCTGGAAAGAATGGAAAAACAATGTAAAAGACAAGGTTCAAAAATATACAAATACAGTAAACAGTATGGAACAAGAGGCAAGTTGCAAAAAGGTGAGTAAAACAACAGACTCTTCACAAAGCAAGTCTTGACTGTGTAATGTTCTCGTTATGTGTGAACTTTATCAAAACTTACATACTGCTTTCTGTCTCCAGTTTTCTTATCATTCAGAACCAAAACCTTTTTGTGTTAGTAGTAGACAAAAGATTAAAAACAAATATGATTAGAGGCCAAATACGCAAAGAAATATCTGATATATATACCCTGGAAAATAGTTATGAGCACCCTAAACCCACACAAGTGAATAGAAAAGCTGAACACAGAAGCATAAAAATTCTATTTAAAATATATTCTGCAGAGAAATCTTACAAAGAGATAAGATGTTACACAAAAATGTAGAACAATGTACAGTTATGGAAAGAGTTATGGAATTTCTTAAAAAGGAGCATATGTCCCAATAAAGGAAAGATCATCAGTAATGAGAGAATACCAAAATAGACCAGACACTAAAATACTCACATTGGACACAGGATGTGCAAAAGGAACAAAAAACACTAAGGATATAACAAAACCTAAATAATTCTATGCACAAACCATGAACAGGTTGGGTGTGAACCCATGAGTGAGTGAGTCACAACACTCCAGTCCAATGCATAAGCCAATGGGCAGTAAGATTCATCAACTAAGTACATATTTCTATACACTATAGGGAGGTTAGCATGCACCCCACTGTGACCACATAAGCAATTTTTTACTGATGAATCTTCCTCCAGTGGCATTTGTGGTCACAGTGGGATCCATGCTAACCTCCCTATGGTGTATAAATATACCTAGGTGGATAAATCTTATTGTAGTGCCAGCTGGCCCAGTGCCTTATGCATTGAGCTGCAGTTTTACTACTCACACCATGGGTTCAAATCCAAAGTATTGCGTGGTTTGTTTGCAATTGTGTTACAGTAGGGCCCCACTTATACAGCAGATTAGGGTCCAGGCTACTGCCATAAAGTGAAAATCATCGTAAAGCGAATCACCTTTTTTATTTTTAAATGTATACAGGTCTCCCTCAACATTCACGTTTTCAACTTTCACGGGCTTCACACATTCGTGAATTACAACCGCCAAATTCCCAGCCACCAAATTCCCAGCCGCCAAATCATATTTAAGTTTCCCGCCACCTGCGAGTCCCTACTACCCTCCCTCCGACCCCCGCAACTGGCAGCCAGCCCTCCCACCACTCAGTGTGGTGAGTGTTTTGTTTGTTCATTATTTGCTATTAAACTACAGTATAAATAATGTAAACCTATTTATGACTGCATATTGGAATGGCTATTCGGACAGGTATTAGACAGTGACATCATGTGTTTACTCTTGAACACTGCAAAGAATTAAACATTTCTGCTGCAGCTAATAATAACAATAGTAATAATAATAATAATAATAATAATAATAATAATAATAATAATAATAATAATAATAATAATAATAATAAATATGATATAATTGAAGAAGGAAATTGTACAAAAATACGAGGGAGTGGTTGACACATCGTCAGTGTGACTTTGTTTATGCTGGAGTGAACATTAGTCTCCCTGCTCTTCCAAACATTTCACAGTAATTCATTGTGTTTGGTGCTTGTAGACTGAGTGTGACTAGAGTGGTAGAGGCAGTGATTGAGGCAGTGGTATTTAATAACATACATGTTAATAATAATACATGTTATTAATAATATGTACTATTATTATTCATAACATATATGTTATTATATACATACATGTTAATAATAATACATATTATTAATAATAACATGTACTATTATTATTTATAACATATATGTTATTAAATACCACTGCCTCAACTGCTGAATTATTGTGAAATGTTTGGAAGAGCAGGGAGACTAATGTTCACTCCAGCATAAACAAAGTCACACTGACGACGTGTCAACCACTCCCTCGTATTTTTGTACAATTTCCTTCTTCAATTATATTGTATTATTATTATTATTATTATTATTATTATTATTATTATTATTATTATTATTATTATTATTATTATTATTATTATTATTATTACTATTGTTATTATTAGCAATAGCAGAAATGTTCGATTCTTGCTGTGTTCAAGAGTAAACACATGATGTCACCGTCTAATACCTTTCCTAATAGCCATTCCAATATGCATCATGAATGGGTTTACATTATTTATTCTGTAGTTTAATAGCAAATAATGAACAAACAAAACACTTACCACACTGAGTGGTGGGAGGGCTGGCTGCCAGTTGTGGGGGTCGGAGGGAGGGTAGTAGGGACTCACAGTGGTGGAGGCATTGGTGGAGGTAGTGGTGGAGTCTGTGGTATTTAATAACATACATGTTTTTAACATACATGTTATTAAATAACATACGTTATTAAAGCATAACATGTATATATTTAGTACAATTCACGACGTTTTCATGTATTTTATGATTATTCATGGTTCAACAAGTTAAGGAAGCAGTATTGTAATATATTTCCCTACAATATATTGGGGCACCAAACATTCACGGTTTTTCAACATTCGCGAGGCTCTTGATCCCCTAACCCTCGCGAATGTTGAGGGAGACCTGTATAAATGGCTGATAACATTTTTACACTATATTAAGTCAGATGAGGTGAATCATAGAATTGATGAGGGAAAAAGAGTGAGTGGTGCACTTAGGAGTCTGTGGAGACAAAGAACTTTGTCCTTGGAGGCAAAGAGGGGAATGTATGAGAGTATAGTTTTACCAACGCTCTTATATGGGTGTGAAGCGTGGGTGATGAATGTTGCAGCGAGGAGAAGGCTGGAGGCAGTGGAGATGTCATGTCTGAGGGCAATGTGTGGTGTGAATATAATGCAGAGAATTAGTAGTTTGGAAGTTAGGAGGAGGTGCGGGATTACCAAAACTGTTGTCCAGAGGGCTGAGGAAGGGTTGTTGAGGTGGTTCGGACATGTAGAGAGAATGGAGCGAAACAGAATGACTTCAAGAGTGTATCAGTCTGTAGTGGAAGGAAGGCGGGGTAGGGGTCGGCCTAGGAAGGGTTGGAGGGAGGGGGTAAAGGAGGTTTTGTGTGCGAGGGGCTTGGACTTCCAGCAGGCATGCGTGAGCGTGTTTGATAGGAGTGAATGGAGACAAATGGTTTTTAATACTTGACGTGCTGTTGGAGTGTGAGCAAAGTAACATTTATGAAGGGATTCAGGGAAACCGGCAGGCCGGACTTGAGTTCTGGAGATGGGAAGTACAGTGCCTGCACTCTGAAGGAGGGGTGTTAATGTTGCAGTTTAAAAACTGTAGTGTAAAGCACCCTTCTGGCAAGACAGTGATGGAGTGAATGATGGTGAAAGTTTTTCTTTTTCGGGCCACCCTGCCTTGGTGGGAATCGGCCGGTGTGATAATAAAAAAAAAAATTAAGTCAGCAATAGAATTAGGACTAAGAAAACAATAAAAAAGTAAAATGCATATACAGTCTACTCATTACAGTCTCTCCTCACTTACCGATGGACTCGTTTACCGACAACTCGGACTTATGATGGACTCTCTGCCAGTTTGCATACCTGAATAATGTACAGTAGACCCTCGGTTAACGCCTTTAATCCGTTCCAGAGAGCTAGCCTTTAACCGATTTAGCCTTTAACTGAATTAATTTTCAACTCTACAGCTTATCTATCACAATTCATCTAATACGACATAATAAATAATACTAATAACATAGAAACATATAGGTAGTAGGTTGGTAGACAGCAACCGCCCAGGGAGGTACTACCGTCCTGCCAAGTGAGTGTAAAACGAAAGCCTGTAATTGTTTTACATGATGGTAGGATTGCTGGTGTCCTTTTTTCTGTCTCATGAACATGCAAGATTTCAGGTACGTCTTGCTACTTCTACTTACACTTAGGTCACACTACACATACATGTACAAGCACATATATACACACCCCTCTGGGTTTTCTTCTATTTTCTTTCTAGTTCTTATTCTTGTTTATTTCCTCTTATCTCCATGGGGAAGTGGAACAGAATTCTTCCTCCGTAAGCCATGCGTGTTGTAAGAGGCAACTAAAATGCCGGGAGCAAGGGGCTAGTAACCTCTTCTCCTGTATATATTACTAAATGTAAAAGGAGAAACTTTCGTTTTTCCTTTTGGGCCACCCCGCCTCGGTGGGATACGGCCGGTGTGTTGAAAGAGAAGAAAGAACATAGAAACATGATATATACTCTAGAATTAATAAAATATGTCATAATGTATGTGAAGATAAGTGATGGAAGTGTTGTTGTTGGGTTTATAATGGCCACTGAGAGAAGCCGTACAGGCTTCTGCCACCACCACCACTATCCACAAACAATATATGAACGTAATTTACAAATAAGAAATATTTACATTTTTATTTATAAATAAGAAAGATTTACATTTTAATTTATAAATAATTAAGTTTATTCAGGTATACACAAATACAATTATCATAGATTATCATACACAGCAGCATATGTGTAAAGTACCTAGGATAACCCAAAAAAGTCAGAGTGACTTAAGTATCTCTATTGAGGTCCTTTTATATTTACACTTACCTTGGAGGAGATGTTAGTTTAATTAGTTTGATGGAGGAGATGCTGGCAGAGGTTTAGAGAGGTGGAAGATATGTAGCAGGCCGGTGTACGTTCAGCGGCCCGATACACATTCAACAACATTGGAGAGTTACTTTCATGTCGTTTTTCTATCGCTGACTAGTTTAACTTACTTGCTATACCGTTAACTCTGCACTTTATCACTGGCTGGCACTATAGCCTTTATCGATACCTGCTGCTTTAGTATCATACATATCGCAGAATCACTGAATCACTGTAGAAAGCACATTCACCCCTCTCTCTTCCTCCTCCACTTCGGTACTTTGCTACAAGTTTTTTCTTGAATTTTATTGTTTCTTTTCTTCTTCATCACAGGGCTGGCTCTAGAAACTTTCTTTGGCCCCAAGTTGGCTTATTTAGCACTAAAAACAATGGAATAATACAAAATACATTGCATGTAAGCGTGGAACCATCCTCAGTGGCTTGTAAACAATGACACAATGGCTGGTACACAGGGTGACTGGCTGGGCCCGCTCAGGGCGCCGTGCGGACACATTTGGAAGGAAAGCTCCTAACCGAGTGATTAGGTGTTATCCGAGCCAATTTTTTCACACCAAAGCAAGGCATTATCCGATTTTGGTGCTATCCGATCCAGGCATTAACAGAGGGTCCACTGTATATTAGAGCTGATTTCCACTATCAGCATTTAAATTTTTTTTTTTTTTGTCAACAAGTCGGCCGTCTCCCACCGAGGCAGGGTGACCCAAAAAAAAAAGAAAATCCCCAAAAAGAAAATACCTTCAACATCATTCAACACTTTCACCTCACTCACACATAATCACTGTTTTTGCAGAGGTGCCCAGAATACAACAGCTTAGAAGTATATATGTATCAAAAATACACAATATATCCCTCCAAACTGCCAATATCCCAAACCCCTCCTTTAAAGTGCAGGCATTGTACTTCCCATTTCCAGGACTCGAGTCCGGTTATATAAAATAACTGGTTTCCCTGAATCCCTTCACTAAATATTACCCTGCTCACACTCCAACAGATCGTCAGGTCCCAAATACCATTTGTCTCCAATCACTCCTATCTAACACGCTCATGCATGCTTGCTGGAAGTCCAAACCCCTCGCCCACAACACCTCCTTTACCCCCTCCCTCCAACCTTTTTGAGGACGACCCCCTACCCCGCCTTCGTTTCCCTACAGATTTATACGCTCTCTATGTCATTCTACTTTGATCCATTCTCTCTAAATGACCAAACCACCTCAACAAACCTTCAGCCCTCTGACTAATGCTTTTATTAACTCCACACCTTCTCCTAATTTCCACACTTCGAATTTTCTGCATAATATTTACACCACACATTGCCCTTAGACAGGACATCTCCACTGCCTCCAACTGCCTCCTCGCTGCAGCATTTACAACCCAAGCCTCACACCCATATAAGAGTGTTGGTACTACTATACTTTCATACATTCCCTTCTTTGCCTCCATAGATAACATTTTTTGCCTCCACATATACCTCAATGCACTACTCACCTTTTTTCCTTCATCAATTCTATGATTAACCTCATCCTTCATAAATCCATCCACTGACACGTCAACTCCCAAATATCTGAAAACATTCACTTCTTCCATACTCCTCCTCCCCAATTTGATATCCAATTTTTCTTTATCTAAATCATTTGATACTCTCATCACCTTACTCTTTTCTATGTTCACTTTTAACTTTCTACCTTTACACACACTCCTAAATTCGTCCACTAACCTTTGCAATTATTCTTTAGAACCTCCCATAAGCACAGTATCATCAGCAAAAAGTAACTGTGTCACTTCCCATTTTGTATTTAATTCCCCATAATTTAACCCTACCCCTCTCCCGAACACCCTAGCATTTACTTATCTTACAACCCCATCTATAAATATATTAAACAACCATGGTGACATTACACATCCCTGTCTAAGACCTGCTTTCACCAGGAAGTAGTCCCCCTCAACATTTAAAAAATATACCAGAAATGTTATAAATGGTGCAAGGGTGACATTAAAATAATATCAAAGATGGTTGGCACAAACCCACTACCATTATAGTATGCTCCTCACTTAGCAACAAATTCATTTAACAATGTGCTCTTATGAACGGAACTCCATCGTTAAGTGAGGAGAGGCTGTACTTACCTTAAAGTATATGTATTTTTGTACTTAATGTATGAGAGGCGAGTAGAATTTATTGTAGGAAGCCAGTAGAATATGAGACCAGCCTCTCCTAACTTTGAATTAATCTTCAGCAGCTTCCTAACCTCTCTCAGCTCTCAAAGAATTGAAGAGACTTAGGGCTTTGGACTGGATAATGGCTCAGCTTAATCTTTTAAGTGTCCAGATCCCTGATCTGAAGTGTCTGCAGTGTCCAAAAATTAAAAAAAAAAAAATTTTTTTCTTAGGAAATGATAGAGAATCTTTTTCTGAAGGTAATAAAAAAAAGTACTAATTCTGATGGAAAACTTATGAAATTATGCTTTCACCAACTTTGCTGTGTCAGCGGTATTTACGCATACGCAATTCTGTCCACTTTGAGTCCTATTTTAGGCCAATTACGTTGTTGCAGTGCACCAAATTCTTAGCTATTTAGCTAGTATGACTTCCATTTTATCAACTGAGCAGAAAAAACTGCCCAATCAACTATTTCAACTACGTAATAAAGTGATCAGAAATTAGTATTTGGCCAACTTCACACAAATTTCAAAATATACATATTTCGAAATAGGGTCCAGAATAAACAACACAGGCATCAGTGGCACTAAAATAACATTTTCTCTGTTCAGTAGTGAATTCCATTTTGTATTTTTATTCACACAAAGAATAGAAGATATACTCTTATGCATTATTGTAATTTTATAAATAATGTTAGTGCACTTGTAAACACATATTAGAACTACCAATTGGATGTGTACTGGACAAGTCATGTGATCTATTTACTATGGAATATTGGGAAAAATTGAACATTTCCGCTACTCTTAGCTCAACTTAGTTACTTCCAGTCCTGAAACCAGTTAAAATCATCTCTATTTCTGTAACACATCTTCCATTCTATCAAATGAGATGAAGAAACTGAGAATACAACCATAACAAAACATCAAAAAATACACTGCAGTCACTGTTTTAACCTGAAAACACGGTCACATTTTGTCTCATTATGCACTGCGTGCTGCAGGATTTTTTATGCGGTGCACACTTACTGCACAGACCCATTCTCTCATGTCTAAGCCCAGATTTATCCCTCACAGCTTATTTGAATTAGCTGAGCTCATGGCATCATACTACAGGACCGACACTGGCTTCAAAGCCATTATATAATGGGACCAGCACCAAAAGGGTTAAACCATTTACGTTGTTCCATTTGACCAAATTCTTAAGCTAATTTGGTATTGTGTCTTCCATTATATCAATCGAACACAAGAAACCACCCAGTCTGTTATTTCAACTATCCTAGAAAGGCACAGAATTCAGTAATTTGACCAATTTTAGACATTTAAAAATTACCAATTTAAAAATAGAATCCAAAGTAAACAATGTAGACATTCCTGACACTATAACAACATTTCCTCCTTTCAATAATCACATCCCCAGGCCTCTCCTATATTGCACTTGCCTTCCAATTTGGATTAATTATATTTCTTGGATAATAAAATATAACCAGGAATGATTAGGTATGGTTTAAAGTGTCCCAATGATTTAACCAGACCTATTAAAACCTATAAAAGAATTGTGGGGTGTAGAGGGGCTTTACACATCCTCAGGAAAATTGGCAAAAATCAAATATTTCTGCTATTTTGATCTTAATTTCAAGCTACTTTGGGTCTTGAAATCAATCAACCAATCACTATTTTAGTAGTATGTCTTTCAATCCATCAATTGATACAAAGAACCAGCTACTAAAGTCATAAAAACCATCCAAGAAAACCCCTAAAATTAGCTATTTTCAACCAAACACATGGTCAGAGTTTTGCTTCTCCTATCATGCACTGTGTAGAGCAGGATTTTTTTTATACTTTGCACACTCACCACACAGACCCATTCTCTCATACCTAGGCCAAAATTTACCACTCACAGCTTATCTGAGTGAGCTGAGCTTATGACATGTAGAACTATGTCAGGGACTCTGGTATCAATTAAGTAGTTCTACTTGATTACCAGTGAAAGGGTTAACTGATTTTTAGTTAAGTATCATATAATAAAAAATTGACAGAATTTTTTTTTGTCTAGGTTGGTTCATTTACAACTTACAATTACATTTTACTAATTTTCCGATTATCTTTATGCTTACTTACCTATATTTTCTTCAAATGCTGGTCAGGGTTTCTGGGTTACTATGACATTCAGAAGTGGGAATTTCAGAGATATTTCTTAATACAAGTAGTCCTCCAGCTAGAGCACTGTGTCCCCTGAACTGTGATGGTGTGATGTGTTGTACATGGTACACCAGCCTGTGGAGGAAGCAGCAGTGAGTGCAGAATAACACACGGCTCAGAATATACAAAGACTGTTTTTTCCTCCATTCGTACCATAAAATTATAGGTTTACACTTATTCCAAAATCAGTTCCATATAATACATAAAATTTAACAGAGTAAATATAACCTGGCCTGGTTGATAGAGATGGTGTACCAGACTTACAAAAAGGTCAGAAAATGGGAAGATTATCGTATTGTCACTATTTTTCTTTGCAATTCTTCTTTCTAGTATTATTTGTTTAAGGGTATAGGGAGAGAACAGGAGGGAGGGGTAAAGAGCAGCGGGAAGGGAGTAGGGAGAGGTGAGAAGAGAGGGATCAATTGAGAAGGAAAGATAATGAGGTAAGTTTTTAAAACAGAATGGGACAGAAATGTTGTGACACTATGTTATTCAGAGTATATATGAATACTCTAGAGTTTGAGAATCTGTCAATAAACAATACTGAGTTGATCAGCCACAACCTCATTTTATTTCATACACACAAAAACAAATACATTAAGAGAGAAAATATATTTGTTTAATTGTATTGCCCATTTCTGACACTCAATACTGCACTAAAAAAAAAGAAAACTGTATTTTCATTGTCCTAGGATACTTTTGAGTGCATCTGAACACTGGCAGGACTGCCTTCCTCTCTCATACAAACATAAGGTCAAAAGAATGGAGGAACATTGCAGCAGGTCTACTGGCCCATGCAAGGCATCTCACATCTCTCTCCAATAAAGAATCTGATAAAACACCCTATACATATGCTATCTACCTTCTTTCTCACTGTTATGGTGAGGGTACAGGTCAGCCATCATTAATCTGGTTCCATCAGTAATCCAGCACTAATTTCAGCTAGCCTAATTTTAAATTTCCAGGGTCGCTGCACCAACCTGCTCCTACTGTTTGGTGGTGCTACTTTCTGCATGAGTCATTCAAATTTGTTTTTCTCCATTTATTGTTATAACCTGCTCACTTTTAGCTCTAGCCATGATTCCAACAAATATAGGAAATGCTTCTCATTGTGCAAAGCACAAACACCGTACATTGTCCATAAAAGATAAGGTGGGTTTGAAGCTACTGTTGGTCCTGTAGTATGATGCCATTAGCTCAGCTCACTCAGATAAGCTGTAACCACTAAATTTGTGCCTACATATAAAAGAATAGTTCTGTGTGGTAAATGTGCACTATATAAAAAAAATCGAGCAGCACACAGTGCATGAGAAAAAAACTGCAACTGAGTTCTTGGTGTAAGACATCGATTTTGTGGTGTATTTTCGTATGAATTTTATGGTTATATTATTGGAAGATATATTATAGAAATGGAGATGATCTTGATTGGTTTCAGAACTGAAAGTACCTTGAAATTAAGCTCAAAGTAGCGGAAATGTTCAATTTTTGCCGATGTTCGAGAGTAAATAAATCATGTTGCCGTCCAATATGTGTCCAACTGGCCGGTCTAACATTATTTATACAATTATTTATACAATTATTAGAATACTGCAGTAGTCTGAATAACGGTAAATCTTCTATTTTTCGTGAATAAAAATTCAAAATGGAAACTAAGCATAATATAAGAGGGGTGTGGAGAGGTGACTAATGAACAGAGAAAATGTTATTTTAGTGCCAGGGATGTCTGCACTGTTTATTCTGGACCCAATTTTGAAAATGGAATTTCTTAAAATTTGTGTGAAATCGGTCAAATTACCGATTTCTGGCCACTTTATTGGTTAGTTGAAATAGGTAAATGGGCGGTTCCTTGTACTACATCAACAGAATAGAAGGAATACTAGCGAAATAGCTATGAGTTTGGTCGACTGGAACAATGGAATGGACAAAAAATAGGGCATAAAGTGGGCGAAATCGCTGATGCATAAATATTGCCATTGGGTTAAGTGTATGCTAACCTAATTACTCTGTTATCTGACAAAATCATTAATCCAGCACCCTACAGGTTCCGATGATGCCAGATTAGTGATGGTCAACCTGTATTAGATGACTAGGTGGGGAGTAATACAGTGAGGGCATCTTTTGATATGAGGTTGTTACTGCCTTCAAAGAATAATTAAGCTTGTAATATTAACCCCACAACTTCAAAATACATCTTATTTCTGAGAAAAATGGATGAATGACCAAAAGAACCATTGTCTCTCATGCACAACCTTGGAGCAAACTTACATAACATATGGCGACTGCCTCTAGCGAAGGTCTTCTGAGTTGACTACTCCTAAGCCAGCATGTCCCTACAGCTCAAATCTGTGAGTACATCTTATGCTGCAAGATTACTAGTTACCTGTAAATAATAATAATCTTAGAAACATAAAACTTAAAGGAAAGGATAATAACTCTTAATTTACCTTGAACTACAAACAAGATTATTATGGTACTGGAGGTTTAATTTTTTAACTATGTACAACATACCATTAAGCAAGTGATGTCACTGTGCCTGATGTACCAATATGCGCAATTTTCCTACACCTCAAATTTACCACATGCTGCCATGAGTATGCACGAGTACAGTGGATAATTCTTTCTTTCAACACACCGGCCGTATCCCACCAAACAGTGGGTAATATCACCAAGAAAACATATAAGCTTACAATGACTGGCCAATGTACCACACTTTCTCGCGGTGAAATCCTGGAAATACTGTCCAATCCAAACACCAGTGACATTGAGGGTAATAATGGAGGATCATTTGTTGGTTTAGAAAGGGGCAGCACTGGTGGTATGACCAGGAATGAAAGAAGTACCATTTCAACCCAACAGCACTGCTTGCTGTCCACCTCTGGTCTTGCAGCATAATAAAGTAGACATCAACAATTCTTCACCCTTGAATTAGATAGTGATTGGAGTGATGTGAGTAATAACAGTGGAGAGGAATATAGTGAAACTTCCACTTGTTAGCACATTCACTTGCAAGATTTTCCAATACGAAGTCGCTTGTCAATTATTTGCTTCCATACACAAGCGAAATTTTCCATAAGCAACTGAGCATCAGGAGAGGTTCCTTGATGCTGGTGAGGGGCTCTTGCCCTTGATCTAGAGAACTGAATCTCATTTGTTTGTTGGACTATCTTATTGAAACTTGGGCAATGTATGATGGAAAGATGCTTCTTAACGTACACCAAAAATAAAAGAAATCAAACCATAAATAATGGAGTTCACTTTTCAGTCATTAGCCGCCCCTTAGCGAAATTTTTGTATGGTTATGTTGTACTCTCGTTTTTTTGTCTCATTTGATAGAATAGAAGATATATTACAGAAATAGATATGATTTTGATTGGTTTCATGATGAAAAGTACCTTGAAATTGAGCTCGAAGTAGCAGAAATGTTCGATTCTTTCTCTATGTTCAAGAATAAACAAATGTCTTCACTGTCCATTCCAATATGGAGTCATGAATGGGTTGACATTATTTATACAATTATTACAATAATGCAGTAGTCACCATAACAGTATATCTTCTATTTTTTGTGTGAATAAAAACTACAAATTATTTATATTGTAATAATAACAATAATAATAATAATAATAATAATAATAATAATAATAATAATAATAATACAGTGGACCCTCAGTTAACGATATTAATCCATTCCAGAGAGCTTGTCCTTAACTAATTTTATCGTTATCCGAATTAATTTTCCCCATAAGAAATAAGGGAAATCCAATTAATCTGTTCCAGACACCCAAAAGTATTAATTTTTTTTTTGCACGTGAAATACAGTGGACCCCCGACTTACGATATTAATTCATTCCAGAAGTCTGTTCGGGTGCCATTACCGAACGAATTTGTTCCCATAAGGAATATTGTACATTAAAATGGTATAAAATACCGACAGGTTGTTAGGTAAGACACATATGCAACAGTTAGGTAACTTTATTATGAAACGTATCGCCTACACAGTAGGCTTCTTCAGTCAAGTACAGAAAAGTTGATAGAAGCATAATAAAGTTACCTAACTGTTGCATATGTGTCTTACCTAACAAGGAATATTGTAAATTAGATTAATCCGTTTCAGACCCCCAAAAATATACGTACAAAAGCGCTTACAAAAATACACTTCCATAATTGTTCGAGTTGGGAGCTGATCATAAGGCGGGGGTCCACTGTATACATTTTCCTACACATAATAAATACATTAATAATTCATATAATGACACTTACCTTTACTGAGGATTAACCCTTTGAGGGTCGACAGGTCCTCTCAGGCCAAATTTCAAAAAAAAAAAAAAAATTATTTTTATGAAAAGATAGAGAATCTTTTTCCCGATCATAATGACACCAAAAGTATGAAATTTGATGGAAAACTTACGGAATTATGCTCTCATGAAGTTAGCGGTCTCGACGACGTTTATGCATCGGCGATTTTCCCCACTTTGAGCCCTATTTTCAGCCAATTACAGTTTACTAGTTGACAAAAATCATAAATATTTCACTAGAACTCAATTTTTTCTATCGAATGAGTACAAGAAACCACCCATTTACCGATTTCAACTATCCAATGAAGTGGTCAGAATTTAGCAATATTGCCAATTTCACACAAATTTCAAAAGATGCCAATTTCCGAACAGGGTCCAGAATAAACAAGAAAGACATTCCTGGCACTAAAATAACAAGTTCTCTGTTCGTCAGTCACATCCCCAGGCCCCTCTTATATTTCTTTGGCTTTCCATTTTGAATTTTTATTCTTACAAAAAAAATAAGATTTACTGTTATGCAGACTACTGCATTAGTGTAGAAATGGTATAAATAATATCAGCGCACTTGTGAAAGAATATTAGACTCACCAGTTGATGTGTATTGGACGCTTGGCATGATTTGTTTACTTTTGAACTTTGGTAAAAATCGAACTATTTCTGCTACTTTGAGCTCAATTTCAAATTACTTTTCATTGTAAAACCAAAATCATCTCAATTTCTGTAATATGTCTTCCATTCTATAAAATGAGACCAAGAAAACTAGAATACAACAATAAATACCATACGAAAATACAGTGCAAAGTCGCTGTTTTAATCCAAAAACACGGTCAAAGTTTTTTTTTCTCATTACGCACTGTGTGCTGCAGGATTTTTTTTATACTGCACACACTGACCATACAGGCCCATTCTTTCATATGTAGGCCTACCAGCTTTCTCTCACTAGATTTGAGGGCGCTAGAATTTAGGCGTACTAGTACGTCAAAAACCCTGGGTCGTAAGACGTACTAGTACATCTGAAACCCCCAAAGGGTTAAGTGATGAGATGGGAGGAGGGGAGAGGATTAAGGTGTATTATTGTTTCGAAGGGGAATCCCCTTCCATAAGGACTTGAGGTAGCAAGTTTTTTTCCGGGGTTACCTCCCTTCTTTGTTTTTTAATGCCACTAGAACCAGCTTGAGAGTCACTGGACCCCTGTGGCACCAAAAATCTGTCCAGAGAGCTCTGTTTCTGGCGTCTCTTTAAGATTTCCCTAAAATAGGACACAACACTGTCATTGTAAAAGTCACCAGCACGGTTTGCAACAGCTGTGTCAGGGTGATGTTCATCCATAAAGGCTTGCACCTTTGTAAACATTGTACAAATGTCCTTAATCGTTGAAGAAGGCAACTTCCTCCATCTCTCTTCCCCCTCCTCTGAAGCATTTCCTCAGCCGTGGTCTGTTGCTGGTGCAGATGAACTCTTGCAGCTCATCAGTGGTTAGCCCTTCATCGTCGTCTTCCACCAACTCTTCCACATCCTCGCCACTAACCTCCAACCCCATGGACTTCCCCAGTGGCACAATAGATTCCACCACTGGCATAGGCTCCTCAGGGTCAGCCCCAAACCCTTCAAAATCCCTCTCTTGTACATATTATGGCCACAATTTTCTCCAAGCAGAGTTCAAAGTCCTGCAAGTCACTCCCTCCCAAGCCTTACCTATAAGGTTCATGCAACTTAGGATACTGAAGTGATCTTTCCAGAACTCTCTTAGGGTCAATTCAGTGTCTGAGGTCACTTCAAAGTACTTTTGAACATGCTTTGGTGTACAGTTTTGAAATTTGAAAATGACCTGCTGGTCCATGGGCTGGAGGAGAGAGTTGTATTAGGGGCAAAAAATTTAACTTTGATAAAACTAAACTCCCCACACAATTCGCTTTTGCAAGTGGAGTTCCAATTTATTTTCCTGGAGTGTTTTTTCACACTGGGGCCGAACATTTGATAGAACCAATCGTGGAAAATGTACCTAGTAACCCATGCCTTACTATTTGCCCTCCACATCACACACAAATTAGGCTTGACGACACTGTTTTTCTGAAACTTTGGGAGTTTCAGAGTGATACACCAATAAAGGCTTCACTTTGCAATCACACTAGCATTACTACATAACATTAATGTCAGCCTGTCTTCATAGGCTTGTGTCCTGGGAGTGCCTTTTCCTCTAAGTAATGTAGGTCCTGTTTGGCATTTTCTTCCAAAACAGCCTATTTCGTCACAATTGAACACTTGTTGGGGTTTTTAATTTTTCAGCCTCTATGTATGCCTGCTTTTTTGTCTGAACTGGCAGCCTCACCATGCCTTATCATACTGTGTATGATAATATCAGCACTAGTTGGAGGCATTATATTAATGAGATCCACATGCAACTGCCTTGCCTTTTCACATATAATTGACTGTGAAACACTATCTCCTGATAATTGTTTCTCGATGATCCACACCAACAACAGTCTCTCCACATCTTCAAGTATTTGCAATCTGTTTTGTAAGCACATTTGCACCTTTTGCAACAACAGCTTCTTTGATTGCCTTTTTGTTGGCCAAGATAGTAGCAATGTGATTGGGGTTTGTTATACAACCTGGCCAGCTCAGAGGCACGCATTCCATTTTCGTACAGTGGACCCCCGCATAACGATGGCATCACATAGCGATTTTTCCGCATAACGATTACTTTTATCGCCAAATTTTTGCCGCGCATACCGATTAAAAACCCGCTTACCGATTTTCGTCCGAGACGCGTCCAATGTGCCCTCAGCCAGCCTCACATGTGCCGCCCCGTCCCATTGTTTACCAGCCAGCCTCCGCGGTAACATCCAAGCATACACTCGGAATATTTCGTATTATTACAGTATTTTCGGTGCTGTTTCTGGAAAATAAGTGACCATGGGCCCCAAGAAAGCTTTAAGTGCCAACCCTATGGTAAAAAGGGTGAGAATTAGTATGGAAATTAAGAAAGATTTTGAAGGTTTGGGGCTAACCCTGAGAAGCCTATGCCAGTTGTGGAATCCATTGTGCCTACTTCAAAGATTAAGGAAATGTGTGCACAGTGGGTTGAACTGCAAACCTTTATGGATGAAAATCACCC